ATGCCTAGAAATCATGCTGGGCCTTCCTATTGGTGGAGGCTGTATTGTTGGAGAAACACGGTAGTCTTGAATATGCCCATGAATTTAGAACAGGGGAGTCAAACTCAAGGCCTGGGGGTTGGATCTGGCCTGTGGGGTGCTTAGATATGGCCTGTGGGGCCACCCTAGAAACAGGCAAAGGAGTGGCCCACAGTGGCAGTGCCTCTGCCAGTGAAAACGGAGCTCAGGGGGGCTCTGTGGGGCCCTCCTAAGCTCCGTTTTTGCTGGCAGAGGGTTTTAGGAGGCCATTGCAACTGAAAACGGAGCTCAGGAGCCCATTTTTGCTGGCACAGAGCTTGGGCCACCACAGGCGCTCCCGACACAAGTGGTGTTGAGCTGGCAACACCCACCCTAGCCACACCCACCCTGGCCCTCCGAGGTCAAACACAACCCTGATGTGGCCCTCAATGAAATCGAGTTTGACCCCCCTGATCTAGAAAAATAGTTCACAGCACTGCTCATAGAGATGCCAAGATTTTCAAATAATGCTGAAAGTTGTACCAGTTTTTCAAGAAATAGAGTTGAAGTAGAAACCAAGGAACAGAGTCCCATAATACAAATTGCTCAGCTTTAGAAGAACACACATTTTATTTACTGAAGAACAAATGATGGAAATATGATTAAGGAGCAATCTATGTAATATTTCTTCTCACATTCTTCATTACAAAGAACATTAACATTTCATACTTTTTATGTATGAAATAATAACATATATGTATGTAGTCATATATGTATGTATGTAAATAATAACATATATGTATATATTTGTAAACAGCAATGGATCATGCCCAGTATTTCCTAGCCGTACCACAGATAACAACAATGATCTAATACATATCGATTTTACAGAAGACAATGTTGAAAAAGCACTACGCAATCTAAAACCATCTCTATCTATTGGACCGGATGGAATATGTGCCTACTTCTTAAAAAAGCTATCCACTGCCATAGCCAAACCTCTAAGCATAATCTTTGAAAAATCTTTCAGGACCAGCTCCTTGCCTAACCTATGGTCACAAGCCACAGTCATCCCCATCTTCAAAAAGGGAGACCCAAGCCTAGTTGAAAATTACAGACCAATCTCCTTATGCTGCGTCACCTGTAAAGTCATGGAATCAATTATTACCCAATCCATCATCCTCCACTTAGAGACAAACAACCTACTCTCCAATAAACAATTTGGTTTCAGAAAAAAACTATCCTGTAATCTGCAACTCTTACACTGCAAAAACATATGGACGACACAACTCGACCAGGGCAAAGCAATAGACGCAATCTACATAGACTTCTGTAAAGCCTTTGATTCAGTGGTACACGACAAACTACTCCTAAAAATAAAATCCTATGGTATCTCTGGACAACTGAATAACTGGATAGAAGCATTCCTGGCAAACAGACAACAAATGGTCAAAATTGGGAGCGTCCTATCAAATTCTGTACCTGTCAATAGTGGTGATCCCCAAGGCAGTGTTCTAGGACCAACTCTCTTCATACTCTACATAAATGACCTCTGTGATCATATTAAGAGCAATTGCGTTCTTTTCGCTGATGATGTAAAGCTGTTCAATACCACAGACAATACTGCTACCCTACAAAAAGATCTTGACTATGTATCAGAATGGTCAAACAAATGGCAACTTCAAATCTCAACAAATAAATGCTCTGTCTTACATATTGGCAAAAAAAATCAGAAAATAAAATACAAGCTGAATAGTCAAGATCTTGTTGATGACCCAAGCTCTGTAAAGGACCTTGGAATACTCACCTCTAATGATCTAAGTGCTAGAGCCCACTGCAACTACATAGCCAAAAAGGCATTAAGAGTTGTTAACCTAATCCTACGTAGCTTTTTCTCTGGTAATATCACACTACTAACCAGAGCATACAAAACATTTGCTAGACCAATACTCGAATACAGTTCATCAGTCTGGAACCCACATTACATATCTGATATTAGCACAATTGAGAAAGTCCAGAAATATTTCACAAGAAGAGTTCTCCACTCCTCTACTCGTTGTAGAATACCTTATGCCACCAGACTTGAAATTCTAGAACTAGAAAACCTTGAATTACGCCGTCTTTGGTCTGATTTAAGCATGGTATATAAAATCATACATTGCAATGTCCTACCTGTCAATGAGTACTTCAGCTTCAACCATAACAACACAAGAGCACACAATAGATACAAACTCAAAGTTAACCGCACCAAACTTGATTGCAGGAAATACGACTTCAGCAATAGAGTGGTCAATGTCTGGAATACTCTACCCGACTCTGTAGTTTCTTCCCCAAACCCCAAAAACTTTAACCTTAGACTGTCTACTATTGACCTCACCCCTTTCCTAAGAGGTCTGTAGGGGGCGTGCATAAGCGCACCAACGTGCCTACCGTCCCTGTCCTATTGTTTCTCTTATTCTTCTTTTATTTTTCTTATATGTACCCATTTCATGTATTCACAACTATGTATACACTTATACTTATTATCTTGTAAACAATTGGCAAATCAAATAAATAAATAAATAAATAGTCCCAGAACATCTGAGTTACTATTCATAAATACCAGTAAATGAAGACCATCAATTAGGCATGGATTGCTATTAGTGAATTAGTTGTAGGAGATTATCAGACTGAGTTTGAGGGAAGGATCAAATGTGTCATCAGTCATGAGTCCCTTCGTGCCTGGAGATCTAAGTCCAGCCCATTTTGAATTCCCATGATTCTTATTCCCATGGCCAATTTGCTTCGACAGTTAGGAGATCAGCTTCTTGTAGAGAATCTAAGCTTGCAATAAACCTTTATGTCCACTTGAACCAGTGGTGGGATTGAAATATTGTTACTACCGGTTTTGTGGGTATGGCCTGGTGGCCGTGACCTGGCTTAGTGGGCATGCCTTGGTGGGCATTGCTTGGTGGGTGTAGCAGGGGAACGATACTGTAAAATCTCCATTCCCTCCCCACTCCAGGGGAAGGATACTGTAAAATCTCCATTCCCACACCACTAACCTGATTTCCAGCTCCATTCTCCTGTACAGGGCAACAAAAGAAGACCCAGCCGATCAGCTGGGACTCAGGAGGCAGAAAATAGATGGGGATGGAGCCAGTCAGAGATGGTATTTGCCGATTCTCTGAACTACTCAAAATTTCCACTACCGGTTCTCCAGAACTGGTCAGAACCTGCTGAATACCACCTCTGATTTGAACTGCTTGGATCTCCTGATTTCTCTTGCTTCCTTTCATTGCATATTTTTTGTCTACAGTAATCTGTTCTGTCTCACCTGTGACCACGAGGTGAGAGTCCAAATTTCCAAAGGAATATAAATAAACCGACAAGACCAGGAACGACAGAGTTAAATTCCTTTGGCTGGAGAATTCCTTGGCAGTCTTCCAAAAGCTGCCTGCAAAGTCCGATAACAAGACAAGACCATAAATCAAAAGCAAATGCCGTGCAGAGAATTTGTCAAGGCTTCTATTCCAAATAAACAAATTGTCCCGAACAGAGATTCAGAGTTAACACGCCCTCTTTTATTTCCTGAGGGGCGTGTCAGTCTCTCAAGTCAGTCCCTGATTTGACATTTCTTTTTACGTTCCATTTCACGTCGATGTCTACGTCTTTGTCTTGCATCAAACCAGCATTCCTCGGTTTGATCCTCAGCCAAGGACTCTGGCACGCTCTCCTGATTATCTGCCGACACCTGAGGCACAACAAGGGAGGAAGGTCCCGGGGAGGGAGATGATTCCGAATCCTCCAGCAATGCAGGCTCAAACCTCAAAGCCAAGTCCTCCTCTTCTTCCTCATTACTTAAGTCTGTATCTTCTAACAAGGCAGGTTCAGACCTCCGAGTCACAACAGTAATCTGTGTCAGGAGCTAGCAAAAAGAGGTGTTTTTTTAAAAATTACTCTTGGTGCCATTATCACAGATTCATAGGGAATCTTCTAGCACAGTTCCCTGCCCAGTGCAGAAATCTTTATACCATTCCAAATAAATGGCTCTCCAACTTTTGCTTGAAAAGCTCCAATGATGGAGCACTCAAGACTCCAGAAGGTAGGCTGTCCTACTGTTTCGCTGCTTGAATTCCAGCTTCAATGATTTCCTTTGCATCATGACCTCACTGAATAAATGAAATCATGATGCCAATCTAAGTATAGTATATAAAATCATACATTACAATGTTCGACCTGTCAGCTTCAATCATAACAACACAAGAGCACACAATAGATACAAACTCAAGGTTAACCGCACCAAACTTGATTGCAGGAAATATGACTTCAGCAACAGAGTGGTCAATGTCTGGAATACTCTACCTGACTCTGTGGTTTCTTCCCCAAACCCCAAAAACTTCAACCTTAGACCAACTACTATTGACCTCACCCCTTTCCTAAGAAGTCTGTAGGGGCATGCATAAGCGCACCAACATGCCTACCGTCCCTGTCCTATTGTTTCTTTTATTTTTATTATATGTATCCATGTATTCATAACTATGTTTTTACTTATACTTATTATCTTGTAAGCAATTGACAAACCAAATAAATAAAAAATAAATCTCTTGTTTCTCATAATTCTAAGCATACCAATAAAAATATAAGTGCCTGAGAAAAAGTTGTACTGAGAAACTTATTTCATTCAGTGTACATTTATCTGATAACGAACATTGTAACTAATGGGGTGCAGTTGACATTTTCCTGTTCTAGGGAAGTTATAACATTAAAATTATTTTATCCTAAGGGTCTCTATGCTTAAATGGTTGGTAGTTAAAATAGGAGGCAACGTGATGATTCTATGGTTCCACTGTAGCAACCATAAGAAGCTTTGTAGGTAACTATTATTTTTTTAAAAAAAATGGGCAATGAGACTGCTTCAAAATGAAGCACTTCCTTCCAAAGTCCTGAAGATCGATTTCAGTTGGACATGCTTCTACTGCCAGATTACATGCTTAGTTACAGTTTAATTGATTGTAAACAAAACCTTTGCGTTCACTCTCATAGTTTGAGGTCAACACTGCTCTTAGCTGGTACTGAATCTTTTTCAAGTAGCTGCCTGTGGTGAATGATTATATTCAGACTGTGCTTCTATCCAAATAGAAAAGGTAAGTTTTAATACATTCATCTATACAGTTATAATGATTAAAGATACCTGTGGCATTTATTAAGTTTCTTCTAAAAGAGCTATCACCAAGAATGTGGTTGATAAGAAAGATTAGACTTTGTCGGATGTGACATACTAATTTGAAAGCTGAGAAAGAATTGAGAAGAGTTGTAATTCTCATGTAACTAGTACTATAACTCCCCCTCCCTTTCCCTCTCCATCCCCGTCCCCCTATCTCTCTCTTTCCCCCTCCCTCCCTCCCTTCCTCCCTTCCTCCCCCCCTCTCTTTCTCTCTCTCTCTCTCTCTCTCATGTACATCCCGCAAACAGACATGCACATACTTAGAAGTATGGCACATTTGACCTCTGGAAATTGTTTAGCTATTATGATTTCAAACCTGATTTTTCTCCGCATTGAAGATACTGGAAAGCAATACATAATAATAATGCTTTCTACTTTGTAATGGATGTATTCCTTTCTTAAAAAGGAATGAAGTCTTACCAGTTTTAGGGGATTTTTTTCCCTGTTGGTATCAAACCAAAAGTATTTATGCAAGCAATCTATCCATAAAGTGACACCATCTATTGTGTAATCCAATGAACAATAAATGAAACAATAACCTGTTGAATTGCCAGCAGCCAATAACAACAACAGCCTGTCTATCATGTACTTTCAAGTCTTATAAAATCTTAATCTTGATTCTTGGCTTTCTCTTAAAGGTCATCTAAAGTTGGTTATTTGTGTTTGCTACTCATTTAGTATCTTCTGTTCAATAATTATTGGAATAATTTGAAATAAGAAATTAAGCTTTGGAAAACGTGAATTATTACTTTTACAGTTCTTCCTAGCCCAGACAATTTAATTTTTTTCCATTTTAGGATATCTATCATTATATTTTTCCAAGTCTGCAAATAATTATTCTTAAATGAATCTTTGTTTCATTTTGTTAAATAAATTATCTGACATTTAATCTCTGTTTCATGTTTAGAATAAATAAATATAGATTAGGTGGATTTGTCACAAACAAAAGGGTTGTAACTTTTCAATAGGAGGTTCATATTCCCTAATATTTTGGGGAAGAGAATTAAAAATAAAAACATATTTTACAGAAGCTGACCTATAGCTGAAACATTTTTAAGAAAATTCACATGCTGGGCCTGTCTGGAAATTCTGAAATGATAGAAGCACATTGCTTTCTTACACTTGTTTTTCTTTTCTTTCTGCATTTTATATGAAAATAGTATAAGTTGCAGATATATCCCCAGGCAAGAATCCTGTCCTATGAATTTATGTCAAGGGAAAAATGGTTTGTACTTTGTGTTATTTTTGTTATTATTGTTGTCTTCACGATCGGTACAAGTCACAAAAACCACACTAAACAGTGGTTTCCTGGTGGAAGCAAAACACATGTTAGCAGAAGCAGAAAACCTTGATCCGCTGAACTTTCTACTGAAACAAATACTTCATTCTTCACCTGGTCCTCAGCTTCCACAAGCTTCATCAATGTTCTTTTTGCTCCTAACAAAGCAAATGGAAGCTGGAAAATTCCAGCAATATATCTCTTCCACATCACACAGTCAAAAATTATTTGATTAATGCATTCCAGTAAAGTTCATCCGTGAGATTGTAACTGAGACCTGTCAGTCACAAATCTCTTCCTTCATGCCCCCACTTCCTTCTTCCACCCCTTCTAGTCTTCTCTGATATATAAATAGATAATGGGAGAAGTTTTTGTCAGGATCCTGTCTGTCCAGGTATCCTAATTACTAAAAAGGAAAAACAAACTAGGTGGTATCAATTTGTTTACATAATAAATTATTATATTAAATCTATGGATCTGAACTATAGGCCTGTCAATCATTCTGCCTTGTGGCTTAGGACCCATTGTCCCTCCTGCCATCTGCATTTACTTTTCCATCTATCCCAGTCGATGAAAGTGTTTCCAATATTCACCCTCTCAATGGCTAAGAAGATGTGGAACAGGAAGAGCCTTAAGTATCTATTGAGCAGCTATTTGTTCAGCTCTTCAGATCCAATTTGTGCAAAAGAAACATCATTTTTCAAAGATTGTACTCCTTCAACTGTGGTAATGGCATTCTCCCGTAAAAAAAGAAGCAGGAGATTGCACTTAGTAATATAAAATGCACACAAGCATGGTTATATTAATAAATATAACTTGCAAACATGCTTTATACTGGACAAATTTGCTTGCAAATTTGGGTATGTCAAAAAAAGAAGGCAACGTTAATGTGTCAAAAGGACAAATGAGTCATGGTGGCACAGTGGTTAGAGTGCAGTACGACAGACTATTTCTGCTGCCTGCTGCCTGCCTGCAATTTGGCAGTTCAAATCTCACTAGGCTCAAGGTTGACTCATCCTTCCATCCTTCCGAGGTGGGTAAAGTGAGGACCCAAATTGTTGGGGGCAGGAGGCTGACTCTGTAAACCGCTTAGAGAGGGCATTAAAGCACTGTAAAGCAGTGTATAAGTCTAAGTGCTATTGCTATTGCTAAATATATATTCTACTAAAACTCTCATTGTCATGTCATTTAACTGCATAAAATATGGTGTATCATATGGCAAGAATTTTTAACCAAGGTATTTCAAATAGGTTAATTTACAGCATGTGTCCAAAATCAAGGACCCATGGCTCCCGAGGGAATAAAATTTGGGAACATTGTGGCTGCTTCAGTGCTACTGGCTGCTGCTGTATTGCTATGTACTGTTGTATTCATGTGATCTTCATCTTCAATATTCTGTGAAGTTTCCCAGCCAGCCTCACAATCCCTCACTTCTTCCCCCACTCACTTAGCAGCACTCATTTACCTGCCTACTGGAAAGAGAAGGGAAGAGAGAAAGAAGGAATAAAGGAATAAAGGAAGAATGGGAGGGAAAAATAGAGAGGAAGGAACTCCTGTGTATCCTTCTGTCCTCTGCTACATTCCTGCATGCCTTCCCTGACCAGTGTGACATCTCTTGTGTGCCCCCATTCACCCACAGGCACTCTTCTCAATCCAACCTGCTCTTCTGCATCTCCCATACTCCCATGCAACCCTCATGCATTCTTCTTAACCCATGCTGTTACCTCACCCCCATCCCATAGGCTTATCATGCTCTCAGGGTCTGACTCTTTTTCTGGGTACTCACTTGCCCCCCTCCCCAGAAATTCCTCCTGGGATCTCTGCACCTTGCTGAACTGTGTGACTCATGATCAAGCAGCAAGATGCTGAACTCACTAGCAAGGTTTGACCACAGCTGTGAACCCTCAGCAGAGAGTGCATTTAAGTTCCCATAGGAACAACTGGCCTCTTGCTAGAAGCAACTGTGGAATCTGGCTTCTCCCCTGTGATGCTTGGAATCTGGTTATTTACAACCCTGGCTTGTTGACTAATAACAACTTCATCTCTCCCTTAACCTGGCATCTTAAATCTTTGGCTTGACTTTGGACTGCTCAATTTGGAAACTTGCCTTGCTCAGCTAAGTCTCATCTATGATTAATTGCTTTTTCCTGCCACTTGTTGGGATTTGCAGAAGCAAGTCTAACACTCTGAATGCCTAGGAACTGTCTGTGTCTGGCTTCTGAAGGACTGCTAAAAGAAGCCAGGATAAGAAAGCAGCCTGTTTGACCAATGAAGCATCTCTTATACACACATGTTCCCCCTGCATATTCTATCCTAACCATACAACACTCTTTGTGCACCTTCCTGAGCTTTGCCACCGCCTGCATGGTCTCCCCAACACATATGGCATTCCTAACATACACACATACACCCTCCCCAATCCACATAGCAATCTCATGCACCCCATATAACAGGGCTTTTCAAACTTGACAGCTTTAAGACTTGTGGACATCAACTCCCAGAATTCCTCCTCCAGTCATGTTAGCTCAGGAATTCTGGGAGTTGAAGTCCACAAGTCTTAAACTTGCCAAGTTTGAAGCCCAGAGGTGGGATTCTACCAGTTTGCACCTATTCGCTAGAACTGGTTGTTAACATTCTAAGCAGTTTGGAGAACTGGTTGTTAGAAGAAATTACTGGCCTAATCCTGTAAGGAAGGCAGGAAGGAAACATTCTGGTGTTGCTTACAGAAACTGCCTCTCCGTTAACCCTTATTACATTCTTGGCAGGACTAGACTTCTTGTCTCAGGAACTTCTCTGTTTTTCCCCCCTCCTTTGCTGGTACTTTGCTTGTGTGGAGTGACCATCCCCCCTCCTTTGCTTGTGTGGAGTGACCATCAATGGCACTGAAAAAAGTGACTTATGACCATTTTTCACACTTACGACTGTTGCAGCATCCCCATAGTCTTGAGAGACCAGGTGAGGAGATGCTTGCCTTGATGTGAGTGATATTGAGTTGCCACGTCCAGCCAGTCACATGACCACCAAGCCACATCCACCCAGTCACATGACCACCAAGCCATACCCACCACCTAAGCCACGCCCACAGAACCGGTTGTTAAAAAAATTGAATCCCACCCCTGTTGAAGACCCTTGCCATATAACATTCCTGACATGCATCCCCTGGCTCCACCCACCCACCCAGTAGCAACTACTTACCTGCCTGATCGCCTTGTACTTGCAGTCTCCTGCTGGCTCCCCCATTGACTTGCTCCCTGAAAACTTCCAACAAACAAAATAAATGGGGAAGCATGCAGGAATTGGGAAGGAGGGAGGAAAATTTCTAATGCTTCCATTTAGCTTCCCACAAGGAAACTCAATGGGAAAGCTAGCAGGAATTTGGAAGTCATTCCCATTCCCACTTTGTTTTTGCCCATCTGTGATCATTGTGTTTCTCTGTTTATGTAATATTTCTGAAATGGGGTACAGGTTGACTGGTTGAATTTAAACCAAGAACCTGGAATACTAAAGTCCCCCTCTGATGGTTCCCTTTCAGAAATTAGAGTTGCTTGATAACTCCTTTGCGGCTAAAAATGCTTTTAGTGCCTTGGGATTGTCCTGATGCTTGTGCTCAATGAGTCAGCAGTTTTACTATGATTTCTCTCCACAGTTATCACAGCTGGATGCAGTTTTGGACTGCTCCTTGGAATGCATGTTGCAGCACATTAGTTCTTCAGCTGCCACAGTATTAAAACAGATATCAAACTGTTCTAACTCCACTTTGTTTGCCTGCACTTACAGGCTTCATTGACTTCTTTAGGATGGTAGCCATGAACAAAGCATATAATTGGCTGCTCCTTATCTTGCTGCTGGCTGCAATTGAGAATAGCGAGGAGTGCTACTGCGACCATTATCCCTGGACTGCTTGGTCTAGTTGTTCAAGGACCTGCAATTATGGGACTCAAAATAGATATAGGTAAGTGGGAAGTATCAGCACTGATACATTATTATCATTCAATCATCTTAAAAGGATGTAGAAGGCCTCTGACTCTTCCCTACTTGATTGCCTTCAAAAGTTGGATCAAAGCTACTTATCTCAGTTGGGAATGATGGGTATTGCAATACAACACATGCAAGGAGAAGCCTGTTGTCAGGTCCCCAAACCCAAAACATAGGTGGCGATTCTTCAAAGCTCAGTTATTTATTGTTCCACATCTATAGCCAGAATCTTATCTAACTGAAGCACCTTACTATGTGCACATAGTAAATATTAAAGATTGCATGCTTTCCAGTGCCTTGAAGTTCTGGATCATCTAACTGCACCCTAAACTGTAGCTGTACTTTGTCCTTTTCAGCATGTAGTTTCCATGGATCTTAATTTCCTTGGCTTAACAGATCCTTCTGGTCACAATAAAGCTTTTTTTTTAAAAAAAAATTCTAGGCAAATCCAAGTGGATGATTATTACCAAAAAAACTTCTGTGCACAAATTTGCACCACCCAGGAATCCAGAGCCTGTAACCAGCAGACGTGTCCAATCAACTGCCGGCTTGGAGACTTTGGTCCTTGGTCAGAATGTGATCCATGTGTTAAAAAACAAGTAAGTAGAGTCTAAGCTGGAAACCCGCCCCACTTTACATCGAGGGGGGCTGTGTGGAGAGAGTTTCATCCTTTAAATTTCTGGGAGTCTACCGCAGCGAAGATCTTACCTGGAAAATCAACACAACCCAGGTGGACAGAAAGACCCAACAGAGACTCCATTTCCTTAGGATCTTGCAAAAGAATAAAGTGGAACAATGACTGATGACCTCCTTTTACCAGTCCACAATAGAAAGCATCCTCATATATTGCATTACGGTGACAGCCGCAGATAGAAAGACATTACAGAAGATGGTGAGCACAGCACAAAACATCGTGGGCTGTTCCTTGATACCCCTAGATGACATCGCTAGGGCTCACTGCCTTAGAAGAGTGAGGAAAATTCCCAGGGACAACTCATACCCCGGTCAGCACTTCTTCACTCTCCTACCATCGGGTAGGAGATATAGAAGCATAGCCAGCTGCACTAACAGGCTGAAGAACAGTTTCTACCCGTGGGCTGTCAGACTCGGAAAATAACTTCATGTCAACATAGTATGATAGACTTGCAGGGCCCTCATGTTGTGCAACCAGGTCACATAGTGTAATAAGATTGGGACTGGGTTAGGGACTTCTGTTCTCACTGTGAGTTGTGTTGGGCGGGGGGTGCACAAAGGGAGGCTCAGCCAATCTCACAGTTGTACACAGTTGTACTCTGACAATAAAGGTAATAATAATAATAAAAGATATAGATGGATATATAGAGAGTAAGGAAATTGATCTTGAGAGAGATATTCAGGAATCATTGCTCAGGGAACAGGAGCTTAGTATTTTTTTTTTAAGTTCAGAAGAGTGAGGTAACATTTGAAAGCACTCAGGAAGAGGCCTCCCTAATTCAATGGAATATAAAAAGGAGGAGAAGAAGGAAGTAGAGCGCAATCGGATTTGCAAGATTCTGTCATTATATTCAACTTCAAAAAAGATAGTTTCAGCCTTTGTTGACCAAGAGTTGGTCTTTGAATCTATAGGCCAGGGGTGTCAAACTCAAGGCCTGCATGCTGGATCTGGCCTGCGGGGGTGCTTAAATCCAGCCCATGGGGCCGGCCTGAAAATATCAAAAGACCGGCCCTCGGTGCCTCTGCTGGCCAAAACAGGCCACATGCAGCCTCCCCGCAGCCAGCTTATGGCCTCCATAGCCTCCTGCAACACTCTGCCGGCCAAAATGGGAGGCCTCTAAGGGGGCCATTTTTGGCCAGCAGAGTGCTGCTAGAGGCCAGAGAATCTGAAAACAGGGTGCACGGGGACCTCAGAAGGCTTACACATGGCCTGTTTTTGGCCAGCAGAAGTCTGATGAACACTATGGAGGGTGAAAATTAGGCACAGGAAGGCTGTGTGTGCCCCCATCCCCGTTTTGGCCAGTAAAGTATTGCAGGAGACCATTCAGGCTGAAAATGGGGCAGAGGGGGCCCCATGCAGCCCCCACACCCTGTTTGGGCTGGCAGGGTGCTGCAGGAGGTGTCCATCCCATCTCCCTGACACCCAACACCCTCTGCCGGCCCACAGAGGAAACTACAATGCTTATCTGGCCCTTGAAGAAATCCAGTTTGACACCCCTCCTATAGGCCATTTGGCAAGCAAATGGCCAACTCATTTCAAGACCACAATGTCAGGAATGTTTTTCAGGTCCATCTCCCAAGAGCTCCCAAAACTCTGAAGGGAAGGAGCTCAGACAGGGAGCAGTATTGAAAGAAGTCTCAAAAGAGACTTTAAAGAAATCTCAAAGGAGTATTGTCCCCATTACTCTTTATTTACATTCAGGTAACAATATACACTTGAAGGTGACTGCTAATTTCATAGATAAGATAAGAACATAGTACAAATGTTAAGCATAACCACCAGACTCTCCAAAGCTAACAGTGGTAGATCCAATAGATGAACAGATGTTGCTAGTAGGGCCATTTTTGCATTTTCTTGAACCAGTCCAGTCTTGCAAGTACCCATTGTCTTTGGAATTAAGTGGTTGCAGTTACAAATCCAGATGTGGACTGGGCACAAGGAACTATTTTAATCTCATCCCCAAAATAACATTGGTTGTCCCCATAACCCAATCCAGAACAGCAAGTAATCTATTTTCCCATGAAATACTCAGATTTTGCAGATGGGTTTGGGAAGGAAGAGGGAAATAGACCCAATGTCTGTTTCAGAAGTAGCCATCTCAGAAGTTTATTTGCCTTTCCAAATCACCATTGTCTGGACTAACATTTTGGTCTCCAGAAGAGATGGGATGGTCAGGGCAGTTGTATAAGCTCCTTAACCAGGTAAAATTAGGTGCACCATGATCTTTTATCCAAGTACTAAACAAGTCTAATCCTGTTAAAGGTAAAGGTTCCTCTCGCATATACATGTTAGTCATTTCCAACTCTAGGGAGCGGTGCTCATCTCCGTTACAAAGCCGAAGAGCCAGCGCTATCCAAAGATGTCTCCGTGATCATGTGGCCGGCATGACTAAATGCCAAAGGTACACGGAACACCTTCCCACCAAAGTGGTCCCTATTTTTCTACTTGCATTTTTAAATACTTTAGAACTTCTAGGTTTCGAACTGCTAGGTTGGCAGAAGCTGGGGCAAGCAACAGGAGCTCACTCCATTACGCAGCACTAGGGATTTGAACCGCCAAACTGCTGACCTTTCTGATCAATTTATTTATTTATTTTGAGGTCAGCCAAGATGGGTATGGTGCTTCATTCCCTTCTGTAAAACTACTTGGAGAAAACAATCTCTGCCTCACTTATTTATTATCCTTCTGTTTTTCAGTTTCGTACCAGATCCTTTACCCAACTAGCTCAGTTTAAAGGTGAACCATGCAATGAACCTTTGGTGGAGTCACGACCGTGTTTTCCCACAAAACTTTGCAACATGGAGGAAACAAACTGTGGCAACAAATTCCATTGCGAAAACGGTAACTCAGTAATCTCTTCCTTTTATGATTTTGATGCATTGAAAATACAAATAATATTACAAATAATATGCTTTAAAAAAAGGCAATAGAAGTGTCTTTTTTAAAAAAAGACATTCAAAAAAATGAAAGACCTTATTTTAGCAGTTCAACAATTGTGAAGAACAAATGTAATGAAAATTAAAACAGAAAACCCAGCAAGAAAGTAAATGTTGGTTGTGCAAAGAACTGGAGAAGACTGTTGAACATTTGGCATGTGGCTATTCAGACTATTTGGAAATAGTGACCATATTGATTCATTGGATGCTACTAAGAATTATAACAAATAGCAGTTGCTGGAGACAGAAGGTTCAATGGAAAGAAGTAGAAAAAAATAGATAAATATAAAGATCTTCAAATATAGCTGGAGTGAATGGTGAAAATGAAAGAAATAATGTGCCTATTGGTATATATCAAAAAATCTGGAAAAGTATTTAAGGCACAATTCCGTGGAAATGGAGAGAATCTCAACTCATCAATTACAAAAAGTCTCGTTATTGGGTTCAGCACATATATTGTAGTATTTTAAAAGTATCAGATCCAGCCAGAAGTATCTTATAGACTAAGTGTAAATAGGAACAAATAATAATAATAACAATAATAATAATTAAACTGGGGAAGATAACAAAATACAATAGAACAAAATACAATAGACATAGAAATAGAACTGTGGCAAAGGCAGGCAAGGGTAATAATAATAATAATTGTGTCTTGGGTGCAGTCCCAAAACAACTGGTGCACCACTTGAACATCATAGGCATTGACAAATTGCAGAAGGCAGCTTTACTTGGAACAGCTTCCATGCTGTGGCGATATCTGTAACACCATCAAATATCCAGATTTGCCTATCCCAGGTCCTTGGTAAGGACTCAATAGGTAGACAAAAATGCCAAATCCAGTCTGAACATCTGCTTGACTGTGCGATTAATAATAATGATAATAATAATGATAACAACAACAACAACAACAACAACAACAACAACAACAACAACAATAATAATAATATAAAATAATAATATCAGAAACAGTCTTTGCAATTTAAAAATGTTGCTTAGTACATTAACATCATGTGTTGTCTTTGGTGGCATGGAAGGCACTGTATCTCTACATCTGCTGCTAAGCCAGAGTCCTTGGGCACAGCTACCTCAGGCTGGAGTCTGGAACAGGCAGGAAGTCCTCCATATACAGAGAGGCTTTCAATAGAGAATGAACTTCTGTTGGCCATAGCTGAGGGCCAATAGAAGCTCTTATTCTTTGACACTCTTGTCAAATTTTTGGTCCCCTCCTTTGAAGTATGATATGCTTTTATGGTTCCCCTCACCACACACATTCTATATATTTTCAGTGATAGTTGTGGAGTTATCCCAAATTTTACTGGCTCTCCAGATTTAACCAATAATAACAAAAAGGCTACATATGCAGAATATTTCTTTCCTGTATAATAATGTGGCCTTCATGGAAGCATTCATTCCTTATAGAGTTGTTTGTCTGCTTTTCTTTTAAAAAATGGCTTCTAACGCTTTTTCTTCTTCTTCTTCTTTTGTTGGCAAAAGGTCGCTGCATTAGCCAGAAGTTAAAGTGCAATGAAGAAAATGATTGTGAGGATAATTCAGACGAAAGGAACTGCCCACGTGTGCGACCCGTGTGTGCTAGAAAACATGAGAGCGTTCCTGGTGTTAGCCTAATGGGCCTTGGGTAAGCCATGTTTAAAGTGCTCAAGGGAAAGAGGAATAAGAAGCAATAATTCAAAGGAATTAAAGGCATAAACTATGAAAAAGAAAAGGAAACACAACTAACACAAGTTTAAATAAAGACCATTCATTATACTGCTCCATGCTTTCCTGACTTTGCAAACCATCTGGGCTTTCTTAATATCCGTACATGGCTGCAAACATTACCATTTGTTCTATAGTTATACATTGATGCTCAATTTCATTTAGAACCAGTTATCCGAGAAGGAAAGAAGAAAGATTCCAGACAGACATTTAGAAAAGAACTTAAGATAGATAAGAACATGGAAAAAAGGAGGATCTAGTCTAGTTTTATCAAACTTGATGCCTTTCCAGTATTTTGGACTACAGCTCCCATCAGCCTTGGACAGTGGGGCAAGTATAGTTAGGTATGTTAGGAGTTGTAAGCCAAATATTTGGAGGTCACCAGGATTCCTGTAAGTTATTAATGAATTTAATGAATCAGCTTTCGGTCTGTTTGCTATGTTACCACATAAGGGTGTGGCTTTATTTATTCTTCAGTGAAATACCATCTTGAACAGAAATCCCTCCCCTGCTATGAATAATTAAGGAACTGATCCAGGATGCTTTCCATGACAGAATGCAAAACTATTGTTTTCCCTTAGATATCATATTCTGGCAGGAACGCATCGAGGTGAAGTTCTCCATAATTCTTTCAACGGAGGCACTTGCAGACTTGTGAAGACTAGTGATTTGAGGAAAACATATCGTCTTCCTGCAAACTTAGAGTCTGTTTTCTTCCAGGTACCTATCAAAAGATATTAAGCATGTTGGCTGTAAGCATGGGCTTTACGTTTTGGCAGAATCTCATCTGCCATCATCAGGCTTGTGTATTGGGTTCGTCTTCGAACAAAGTACAAAAACAAAATACCCAAACAAAGCTGAATACCGTGCATATAAATACCCGCAAAAACATAAGAAAACACACACACACACACACACACACACACACACACACACACATGCTTTACAATATGAATGCTAGGAGCGTCTGCAGGACCTGGTCAAAAAAGTTAAAACAATGGCTATGATATTGCAATAGAAACTCTGCTTGTTTTTAATTTGCATTGAGCACGTACACCAAGCAAATTCAAATGGCATTTTCAGATATCTTTTATCTGTTACAAGAACAGCAAATTCTTGCCCAAGGAGTCAAAATATTCTCTCTCTTGCTCTTCTGTGGGGTCTTCTTCAGAGAATAATTAGGATTGCAGAAAAAACAATTACTACTAACCTGCCTTCCATTGAGGACCTATATACTGCACCAGTCAAAAAGAGGGCTGTGAAAATAATTACAGGCCCTCTCACATCCTGGACATAAACTGTTTCAACTCCTACCCTCAAAATGACGCTATAGAGCACTGCACACCAGAACAACCAGACACAAGGACAGTTTTTTCCTGAATGCCATCACTCTGTTAAATAAATAATTCCCTCAACACTGTCCAACTATTTACAAAGTCTGCATTATTATTACTATTAACCTTCTCATCACTCCTTATCACCCATCCCCTCCCACTTGTGACTGTATGACTGTAACTTTGTCATTTGTATCCTTACGATTTATATTGACTGTTTCCTAGTATGATTTGATTGCTTAGTGTACCCCATGACTATCATTAAGTGTTGTACCTTATGATTCTTGACTCTTGACGAATGTATCTTTTCTTTTATGTACACTGAGAGCATATGCACCAAGACAAATCCGTTGTGTGTCCAATCACACTTGGCCAATAAAGAATTCTATTCTATTCTATTCTATTCTATTCTATTCTATTCTATTCTAT